CAAATTACGTTGGTAACTTATCAGAGCGAAGTTAGTTTTCGATCACCAACTCAAGGAGTCAATAAACAGGAAAGTCAACTGCTTTTCCGCATTTCGTATGCCAATTTCTCCACACGCACCACCGTTAACCATCCGGTTTATGGTATCCTTGAATCGCGACTTACAAATCTGACATATAGAGAAGAAGAAGAAGAGAATTTTATAACCTCCCATCAGTGTTGCCAGATTTTTTTCCAGCCTGGCGCAGGGCCGATGAAAAAAGTCGCACAAAAGTCTCAACCTTGCCACAGGGAATGGAATTGGTTACTAGCACTAGACTGACAAACAAAAATTACTTTTAATAAAAACATTTTATTTTACAAATTCAGTATTTCAAAACATATATTTATTTCGTCCTCATTGTTACTAATATCTTTGTCATTATAAATGCTAGAGTAAAAATTTAACATTTTCTTACTGGGTTCAAAATCTTTACAACAAATTCCCTGAGAAAAAAAAAATGTTCTTAGAAACATTATCGAATTTAACAATTTCAACTCCATTTTATTTCTTATTTTACATTTAACTATATTAATTATTGAGAATGTTCTCTCAGCAACAGCATTTGAAGAAGGTAAACTTAAAATTGTAAATGCAAATAATGAAACATCATGAAACATCAAGTCTCCTGCTGCGTCTTTTACTGTCATTACTTTTTGCCAAAATATTTCAGTGTCTGTGGGAATTCCATCAGTGAAATATTCTTCCAATTTAATATTTAGCAAGTTACAGTACTGTATTTGAATATTAGATATTTTGTCCTTATCTACAAATTGTAAAGGTAGCTCTGAAAATTTTGGCCTGACTTGGTTAAGTATTATGTGAGGAGAAAAATAATTTGCTTGTTTGAAAACATCCAAGTGCATAGGCATCCGTTTTGCAAGTTCTTTTATCAACACTTTAATAAACTGTATGCATTTTTGTTTTAGTATCACAAGATTTTCATGACAAATTTGCTCACCTTTAATATAAATATCAAATTCATATCCTAAATAAGCTGCATCATGAGTCAAAAAAAATGAGTCATTTTTTAATGAATTAATCAAAAGTTTAACATCTCTGTCCATTAGGGTGATTCATTTCCGCAAAGTTTTTGTTTTTTTCGGTGCTCAAGCAAAATATTAATCTACCTATAGAAAAAAAAATTTTCACCAAGGTAGAGCTCTTAATATCAATTTTAAGTACTTGCAGTTTAAATTTAAAGTTTTCCCAATTAAAATGCATGTAAAAAAATGGTTTTTTTTCAAATTTCTAATGCTTACCCACCTTTGACAATATTGCAAATCGGTTTAATACACCTTATGGGGAATTTCACGCTCTTTAAAATTGCTTTTGAGTTTTTTTTTGTAACTCGCATTGGTTCACCAGTAGGAGTCGTCAAAGGACAGTTTTTGAAAAAAATCTTTTTTTTTTATTTTTTCGAGCAAATTGCCAAAAGTAGTGAGAAAAAAGGGCTGATTTATAAAAAAAAAGTTATCCAACCAATATTTAATGAATTTACTGCCATTTTTATAACTGAAAACGTAAGAAATTGATAAATACCAACCTATAATGTTATTTAGATTGATTTTTTCTATTTATTATCATTATATTTCCCTCACTCATAATGAATATGAAAACAACACATACATATTTCAAATTTCGCTTCAAAAAATTAAATAATCTTCATTTATATTTTTTTGCTATTTTTTTATGAATTTATCTGTTGTTTTCATATTCATTATAAGTGAGAAATTAATAATTTTAAAAAACTTCTTAGTGTAGGGAAATATAATGATAATAAATAGAAAAAATCAATCTAAATAACATTATGAGTTGGTAATTATCAATTTCTTACGTTTTCAGTTATAAAAATGGCTGTAAATTCATTAAATATTGGTTGGATAACTTTTTTTTATGATTCAGCCCTTCTTTTCTCCCTACTTTTTGCGGTTTGTTAGAAAAAATTAAAAAAAAAACCGATTTTTTTCAAAAACTGTCCTTTGACGACTCCTACTGGTGAACCAATGCGAGTTACAAAAAAAAACTCAAAAGCAATTTTAAAGAGCGTGAAATTCCCCATAAGGTGTATTAAACCGATTTGTAATATTGTCAAAGGTGGGTAAGCATTAGAAATTTGAAAAAAAAATATATTTTTTACATGCATTTTAAACGGTAAAACTTTAAATAGTAAGTACTTAAAATTTATATTAAGAGCTCAAACTTGTTGAGAATTTTTTTTTCTATATGCAGATTAATATTTTGCTTGAGCACCGAAGAAAACAAAAACTTTTCTCCCTACTTTTTGCGGTTTGTTAAAAAAAATTTAAAAAAAACGATTTTTTTCAAAAACTGTCCTTTGACGACTCCTACTGGTGAACCAATGCGAGTTACAAAAAAAACCTCAAAAGCAATTTTAAAGAGCGTGGAATTCCCCATAAGGTGTATTAAACCGATTTGCAATATTGTCAAAGGTGGATAAGCATTAGAAATTTGAAAAAAAAACATTTTTTTACATGCATTTTAAATGGGAAAATTTTAAATTTAAACTGCAAGTACTTAAAATTGATATTAAGAGCTCAAACTTGTTGAGATTTTTTTTTTCTATATGCAGATTAATATTTTGCTTGAGCACCGAAGAAAACAAAAACTTTGCGGAAATGAATCACCCTACTGTCCATATGTTTAAAAACTGAAGGTTTTATTATTTGACCAACTAACGACCAAATGAGAGTATTAATTTCATTGAAAGCTTTAAAGAAATCTATATTTTCTTTTTAAATATAAATTATAAATTTAGTTGGTAAATTTCTTATAATATAGGTTTCAGAAAAATTAAAATTGCTTTATTTGTGGGATCTTCAAAACAATCCTTCAGCAATTTAGGTGTGTGACATTTTTCCTTCTGAACATTCATAGCAAAAAAGTTTTTAATTCCAAGTATTGATGTAAAATTTTTTGAACCGCTTTATATCTTAAAAGCCAACGAGTTTCTGAAAGCTGAGTGAGTTTTGAAAATTTTCCTGAATTGATTTCTCCTAAATGAATTAAATTGTAAATATCTCTATAACGTGCCATTCGCAGTGAACTATTTTTAAACCAGGCATAGGTTTCACGCAACAGAAAATCAACTTCGTTAGAAAATACTTCACTGGCCTTTGAAGTACATAAATGCAAACTGTGGCATACACATTTAACAATAATTACGTCTGAATTGTCGTTATCTCTAATTCTGGAATATAAGGAATTATTTTTCCCGCACATGTTATTTGCGCCATCCGTTCCAAGACCTATAATGTTGCTCATTTTTAGATTGTAATCTTTAAATTTTTTATAAACAGCTTCGTACAACTACTCACCTGTAGTTTCGGTTACCAGTACAAAGGCTATAAATCTAGTAAATATTCGGTTACATTTTTTAGAGTAATACTTAATATTTAAGATATTTTTCTGTAGACACATCAGTAGATTCGTCGGTAATAAGAGAAAACTTTGCATCGCCAATATCTTCAATTAATTCAGTATGGAAGCAAGGAGCAATTACATTTTTTATGATTGCAGTACATTTGGTGCGATGCAAACGTAATACTTCATTCTGTTTAGTTGAAGTTGAGGTTGATGAACTTGAAGTATTTTCAAAGTTGTTCATAATATCTGTTACGTGATCCACACAACGTATTGACGTATGGCAAGCAGTGAAACAGGATAAAATTATTTCTTTTTTTTAGTATATGGTGTAGTTACGGTACTTGCTAAAATAATAATGTAGTGAAAGATTTACATAAATTAATTTTAAAATGTTACACTCACCAAACTGACGAATATATGTTTGATTTGCAGCTACTTTTGAGGCATTTGCCTTATGCTTTTCTGTCACCGAGTGTTTTAAAATGTCCCCATGATGAGCCCGAAATTCTGTACAACAAAACTTGCAATAACTATTATTTTCAGTAGATCCCTTTGTTAACCATGCTGCACATGAAAAAACCACCACCAATAAACAATAAAACAACCTCCACCTTTTAAATAAGAATAACATACCTGTTAAAACAGAGGATCAGATTCCCACTCTCGACGATAGGACTTTTTATAACTGCCCCATTTACCCATTTTAATAGTCAATGAACCATAGAAAAAGAGCAAACCAAAGAAGAGCAATTGCTCTAGTTTAAACCATAGAAAAAGAACCAGGATTTATCTATGTATCGAATATTTGAGTAAGGGATCGATCAAACTTTATTCAATAATAATGAAATTATCAACGAGATGGCAGGAGCCGATTTTTGCACAAGTTTAATTTAAAAAGTAGCCCATTTTAAGAAAAATTAAATAAAAATCTTTTTTTTTATTACAAATATTTTTCACTTCCGTGAATTTTTTTAACTAACAAAGGTTCAGTCCTAGACAAAACAAAATAGACTTCTATCTTAACACTGTACTTTTTAGATTGTATTGCGCCATCTTCCGGGGACGAAGTATAGCATAGCCCAAATTTGATTGGCTGTACGAATATTTAAAAAAGGACGCTCTATTTAAAAGGTTGTTTGTCTTAAATTTAATATTTATTATTTCAAGAATATAAACATTTTAGTATAAACATAAAAGCAGACCTGTACTAAATAATTACACAAGTACTTTTTGTAAAAAAAATAGTATAAACAAAATAAATAAAATTATTAATAACAATACAATAAAAAATATAGAAATAAATGATTTTGAAATATAAAAATATAACCAAAATAGAATTTGTATGTTGAAATTTTTATCAGCCTTGAAAAATTAAACCTATTTTAGACTATACTTCCTTATGAAATTATTATAAATAAACTTTATTTATTAAGGGCACAAGGCCATGAATATAATAACAGAATATTTCAGCATACAGAACATAAAAAAATGTACATAAAATATATGAATTATTAAATAATTAATAATAAATAGTACATAAATTTTAGGTTTTTTAAAAAAGCTCATTTTATTTTTTATTTATTTATTTATGACCTCAAAAACAGTTATAAAAACTGGTACCTATTGGCACAACATATTTTTTTGTCTTATTGAAACAAAAATAGCTCTTAAATATCACAATAACGATAATATCAGATAAATATAAATATAACATAAAAAATAAATATAATATTGGATTTATATAATAATAAATTTAGTTATTCTTTGGTTTAATATAAAAGTTTTTAAGTTGGTATGCTCATTGAAAAGATCATAAAAAACTATGCGCCCATATAAATTTCAAAGAAATTAAACAGCTTAAAGTGACCGAAATTTTAAATGTATTAAAATTTGTTGGTCACTTTTTTTAGTTTTAGTTTAATATTAATAATAGTTTTAGGATGCACATAGTTTATTTCTTTTCAATTAACATATTTAAAAAATAATAAAATAACAAAAAAATTTATGAAAAATTAACCTTTTTAAAAAATTAAAGAGGTAGGCTTAATTTTTAGTAGCACTGTGTTTGTTAATATTTAATAGTTTTTTTACAATATTTTTTTATAGCCAGTTTTTTCGCCATTTGAAAAATAGCAGGTGCATTTTGGGTTAATTTTCTTGTGTCTTTTAAATTTAAAATATTGTTAATTTGTTTTATAATATTAAAGAATATCAAATTTAAAAATTTTTTTAAGATTAAATTGTTAAGATTTTCATGAATATCACAAGTAAATTTAATATTTTGAAATATTTGACGAAGGCGAAAAATTAATTTTGTCTCCTCTAAATTTTGACACAACCATGCTTTGCTTTTTGTATATATAAAGGACAGTTTTTTTTTTTTAAATTAATGTTAACATAGGTTAATTTTCTTCCACCATAATCCTTTCTTATTACAAATTCATGTTCTTTATCCGGCATCTCACAAAACAGCCTTTGGCAGCACTCTTCACAATCTTTAGTTTTTGGTTTTATCTTTTTTAAAATAAAACCCAAAACATATGTTAATGCCTGGTTTTCAATATAACCTATTTTTTCACTAGGAAGATTGAAAATTATAGGTGTTTCTAGTTGATTTTCTTGTTGTTGCTCCTCTAAGCCCTAATATAAAAAGAATACCTCTTAGTAATGAATAAAATATATTGTACAAAAGATTACCTCATCCAAAAGATTTTTCAGACTGAAAAACATATCTGCTTTATCATCTTCACAATTGCTGGTAGGGGCATGCCTCGCTGCCAAGTTTTTTATAAGTAGGCTTTTGTAAAATGGGAGGAATGCTTCACATGTGGGGTTTACATATCTTCCACCTCGCTGCCTCATTTGCCCAAAAAAATTCTCCAGTGGGTCCTGGTTGAATTGGCGAGTCTTCATTGATTTAAATCCAAAACCTCTCAGCATTTTAAATAATTCACCAAAATTTTTTATTGTTTTAACAAAGTTGGATAAACAAGGTGGACTAAAGGTATTTCCATTTTTTTTCAAGAACTTCATTTCTTTTAAAGTTTTAATGGCCTTAGTCCAAAATTCAAAATGGGGTGAATTATCAAAAACGGGCCTCCTCAAATTTTTAGGAGATTTCCCAATGGAATTAAGGCTATCAAAAAGGCTGTCAAAAAACTCAAACAGAAAAGCAGTATCAATAGCCTCTTTCTCCATTTTTAATTCTTCTCCATTAATATTTACTGTAGTTTCTGAAAAAGCAATATAATCAACCAAAGGGTTATAAAATTATTATGTTACTGAATTTACCTGAATGAGCCATTAAATTTATGGTCATTGCCACAGTTCTGCTAATAGCTTGGGTACAATATGATACCTTCATTTTAGCTATTTTTTCAGGGATAACATGCAAGTCAGTAAGCTTGGGCATGCACCTTAAACTCCCAAAATAGGGATCCATTTTATATGCCTTCAGCAAATGGTCCCATTTTGCAACCTTTTTTTGCTTATCAGAGTAATAAACTAAATTATGTTTTAATAAGTTGTTTCGTACACATTTAATGAGATGTGGTGGGTCAAATAATGGAAGTATTTTTTGGCCCTCTATATCAAAAAAAAAATCTGATATCTCCATATCTTCACCTTTTTTTATTTTTTCATCCCTGGTTTCTTTTACAAGGTACTTTAAAGCTGCTGAGTTGTTGGTGCCTTGGTCACAAATTACTGAACATACAATAAGTCCAATGTCTCTTAGTTTTTTAATCAACAATTTTAATGAAACAACTATATCGATAGTTTTTGCAGGTCCAGAAGTGAAATTAAAATAAATGGGCTGTTTCCACCTTTTATTTATTCCACGCACCATATACACCTAAAAAAATGTAAATATATAAATAAAAAAAACCTGTTTACATCTCAAAAATATTACTTGAGCATGATTAGCAAATTGATTTCCCTTGTGGATGGAGTCAAATCCTTCAACAACATCCTTTTTCCTGTTGTAACTCAATTGAGTTGATATTGACATTTCATCAAATAATATCATGCAGTATATATCCTTAGGGTCCTTAAATTTATCAACTTCTGCTTTAAGGGCTTTAAAAATAACACTATTAAACCCTGGTCCGACTTCAATTTTATTTAAAAATTTGGCAATTGTTTGTTTTGATGGTAACGCAAAAATATGTGATAAATATTTATAACCCGGTCCTGTCTGTTTGCACAAGGCAAGGGCCAATATTTTGTCTTCATTACAGTATCTTCTGCCCTTTGTTTTTTTTGTTGCATTTTTAAGTTGGCATTCAAAAAATCGTTTTTGAACGAAATTTAAGTTTTCCACCATCTTAATAAAAGATATTCTTTCAGAAAATTTTGTTGCTTCAAATAATCTTTTTTTCAGGGATTTTTTTGACCGACTCAAATTATTGGCAATTTTTTTCATTTCCCCAAGTTGCTTATGCAACTCCTTCTTTTTGGGTGACAACTGTAATTTTCGAGTAAATCCAATTGAGGATAAAATCGATTTTCTTGGGTTTACTAAAAAAAAACAATTATGCAATTTTATTATTAAAATTTAATTTAAGAGCAATAATAAAAATTAAAAATTCTTAGCTTTCCTTAATAACAGTAATTTTGTGTAAAGGCTTTATACATCTTTTCTTCTTCTTCCCAAAATTAAGTAACAATATTTTACAAATGTACTCTTTGACTACATAATAATTCAATAAGTTATTTCTATAGACATGGTTACACTAATCAGAAATGTTAAAAATATATAAAACTAACAACTAACAAACAAAGCAAAACCTTATACAGTGCTTGCAAATCCAAGTCCGACCGCCTTGGGAAGGATCGTTGTTCAATACCCGCGTGAAAAGAATAAGGATAGAATGCCAAACAGAATTTGATTGGTCAGAGCGTCAGGCGTGCGTATTGTAAGCGCCTTCTGTTTGGCGTTCTATCCTTGTTATTTTCACGCGTCCTTCTCAAACCGGTCGGACTTGTGTTTGCAAGCACTGTATAATATTACTGCCCTACTATGGAGAAAGGCAGTAACTGCTAAACAAGAAATTTGTGGAAAATTGGCATAAACTACATTTTTATAAAAAGCAGTAGGTATTTAATTGATTTTTTTAACTTATGAGATATTTGACTGTATTTCTGTGTTGAATTCGGTTACAAAATGTCCATAGCTTTACCATAGCACAAGAAAACGCATTTTGCATTTTTTTGCAGTTACTGCCTTTCTCCATAGTAGGGCAGATTACTATCAACTAAAAATAAAACTATTTTTTTTAATTTAATGACCAATGGTATATAGATTCTTTAATCAAAAAATTTAAAACACTATTTTACAACCTTTCTTTGCTAGTGTAAAAAATACAATAATTGTCAATACATACCAGTTGTGGGAGTTGTACACCTATCTAAGGAAGACATAATTCCGTCACCTTGGGATGTTGATGGTTGGAAAATTGAGGGTAGATCCAACTCGGTACCCTGTGAAGTAGGTATGACATCTTCCATAACTGTTTGTGGCTCTAAGCCTAAAAATAATTTCAAAGTAAATTACTGCACAAAAGTTATACTACTATAAAAAAGACTAGTTGATCTTTGAAATAATGATGATTATAAAAATGTTTCACTATTTTATAAATTGAATGAAGGGGCTTTTACACACAGATCATACAACTTTTACATATTGCACATGGGCAACAACAGTGTCATAAGTCAAAAAAAAAATATTTTTGGGATAATGACTTTCAAAGGTTTTTGGAGGAATTATGATAGGGATTATACAAATTGTAGACAGACACAAGTCTCCATCTAGGGATTAATTTCAAAAATATCTTTATGCCATTGTCGCAGCATAAAATTAATTTTACACTTAATCCCAAAAATCATTTTTTTCGACATATAACACTGTTGTCACCCATGTGCAATATTTCAAAAAACAGTATGCCAGTTTTTTTTTTACTTTAAGTATTTGAAAAATTTATCAAAGGTTTTTGTAATTTGTAAACATATTTAAGTTAGTATTAGAAAATACCTACTAATATTTAAGTTTGAATTAGAAAATACCTACTATAGGTAAAAATACTATTTTTATTAAAGTTACCTGGTAAAAATTTTGTTGGAAGGGCTGTACGAGTCAACCTATTATTGGATAAATAACACTCTTTTGTAAAATGTAGACTGCACACTCGACAACCTGAATAAACTTTGTTAGGATTCATTTCAAGTAGTCGTTTATTTCCACATAATTCTACCCATGTTTTAAACAGGTCCATATTTTTTGAGGGATTTGGAAACACATGTTTACTTGCTTTAGACCCCCAACAACCCTGAACAGCACAATAAATGGCAACCATCTAAAAAAATAATAAATAAATAATAAAAAAAATAAGGTTAAGAAAATCTGGTTTTTAAAAGACCATTTTTTCGTAAACTTAAAACTAATAAAAGTTTTTATTCACAAAATTAAATAGGCATAATCTGATAATATGATTTTGATTGTAATTTTTTTAATATAATTTACATTTTAATAACAACGCATTAAATTAAAAGAAATGGTACTATCAAACCACTCCAAACTTCCAATCTACATTTATCAGTTTACTTACCTTAAAAAAATGTTGATTTACAAAAAAATAAACGATAAAACACACAGGAAAAATATTAAAACAGCAAAACTCAATTTCGTAAACAGATAATGGCGGATCACAAAACAGAAATGGCGTTCTCTGTGTAAAATGGCGCGCGCAGAACCGCACGGTTATTAAAAGTTGGCTTCAGTGCCACCCAGCGGGGACGAAGTAAACTAAAACGTTTCGTGGAATGGGTAATTTGAGAAATAAGTCTATTTTGTTTTGTCTAGGGGTTCAGTGTTTAGAATTTTAAAAAAATCATCACAACTTTTTGCCAAATTAATTCTTACGCTTAAAATCGCTTTTACGGTATCTACTTTCATTTGACTTTTTTCTGATGTCCACAGCTGGTTCATGTTCGAAAACACGCGTTCCGTTACGGCGTTTGTACCAGGCAAAGTCAAAGCATATGCCACAATTTGAGAAATGTTTTTGAATGGAATATCCTCTGCTTTGAAATGAGTGAACATTTCGACCCATTTTACTTTCTACCAAGGTTTCCTTCTCGGCCCAATACTTGAGTTTTGCCTCATCTGCATACCTTTTGACAAATGAAAATTCATCAAAAGCATCATTTTCATTTATATCATGCTGAGGAAAATTGGAAATAATATATTGAAGCGACGATTGAATTATTTCCCATGGCGGCAATTTTCTCAACGTTATCCATGAGAATGTGTCCGTTTGATTGAACTGAGAAGACCATTGCTCCAGATAGTCGAAGCAGTTTTTATAAAAATTCCGTACATGTCCCATAAACCAGGTTCTATTGAGCAACCCCAATGATTCGAGTCTGCTCACTTCGTTTCTGATGGTAAGGGGGATGTATCCAGCTTGAAGTCTTTCGTTATATTTTAATTTTAGATTGGCAATCCTATCAGATACTTCTGTAATCGAAATATTATCTCCTTCAATGCTATTTACGGCGGAATGGAAAACTGCTGCTTCATTATGCAAGAATTGAAGCCACAGTTCCGAAGTATCATCCTCAAAAAAATTACTTAAGATCCTTGGGCATTTTTCTTCTGTTAAAAAGTATGACTTTAACGGGCTGAATAACTGTAGAATTCTTTCTATCGCAGGCATCATGGCCAACCATCTAGTTTTGCTGTATCCCAGCAACTTCTTATACTCCATGTCTGCGGAATCACAAAACTCTTTTAAGTTTTCCACCCTCACCGTGTATATGTAAAAATATGAGTAAATTTTAATGGCAATATTTTCAATATCTACCGAAAGCAGGTCAGCAGCAGTCTGAATGGCATTGTGCAATATGTGTGCAGCACAACCGACGCCAATGATGTTTTGATTCAACTTATTATTTAATTTGGTAAATACGTTGTTGATTCCCTTTCGGTTTTTGCCTCCAAAATTCGAATTAGTGTTGTCAGCACAGTAAGCAATAAGCTTGTTCTTGAGATGATTCTGCTCCAGAATATTAAATATTGAACCACATATTAAATCAGAAGTTTCTCCAGGGAGTGAAATAAAATCAAGTAAGCGGATTTTAATTCCCACTAGCGGATCAAAAAACCTTATAAGTGATGGAAATAGCTTCACGTCATTATGATTAGAGGCATCCGAAAAAATGGCGATATATGAAGCATCAGATATTTCCTCCGTCAGTTTCGTTTTTGAATATGGATAAAATACATTGCAGACTATCGCTTCGGTTTTAGTTCTGGCGCAAGTAAACTTTTTGTTGAATATATTTCGTATCAGTTGAGACGTACAGTCCATTGAACGGAAACTCTGGTTATGGTTAATTGTATGATAAGCAAATAAACCTTCTGCAATTGCTAGGTTCTTCTCTTCATCTAAAAATGCTGTTTTTCGAAAATACGTGTGCATTGTAGATGAAGATGCCGCACTTGTCAGAGCTCTCTTGTGCTTTGATGTTGATAAATGCTTATTTATATCGTTTTTGCCTCCATGGGCGATCGAAAATTCACCATTACATTTATTACAGAGCACAATGCCATCAATTTTACCTTTTTTTAGAAATGGGAATTCTTTTTCCAATGATTCGGAAAACTTGCACTTCCGCTTTTTTTCCATGCTAGTTTACTTCGCAACAACCAGCTTCAAATAATAAGTGAACAGGGTGAATCACAGACTACATATGGTCCACGTCAAATTAATGTAAAACTTTAGAAAATACAGATAATCACCAAAATAACTAGTATCCTGTAAATTTGAAAAGCATCTATCGCACTAGGTTGACTACAGGTTAGAAAGAATCCGCGAGATGTCGTTGCTTAACAAATGTTTGCAGGGATATGGAACAAAACTTTGTAGGGATGATCTTTACAATACAACAAACCTAAAGGCATAAAAAAGGTTTGTTCCACATCCCTACAAAGTTTTGTTCCATATAAATATTTAAACACTGAATTTCAAAGTATCAAGTAAATAATTGTGAAACATTTCCCCATTTGCGTCATATTTAATAGGATAATCGGTTGGTCAAAATATATTTACTAGTAACCTAGGTAATCAAACCACTTTTTTAGAAAACCTCTAAATATGTGAATTAAACACAAAAATCGGGACATTTTTCTGATGAAGCGGGACGCGGGACAAAATTTCAAAATTCGGGACTGTCCCGCCAAAATCGGGACGTCTGGTCACCTTAGTCATGCTGCTATTGTAATGTTTCATTAAGAGGAAGGATACCAAAACAAATTCCAAATTATAATAATTCTAAGCAAAACGATCCATATCAAACCGTACGAATACCAACAGGATTCTTAATAATAAACGGTATATTCTACCACTTAAGTAAACACACGTTCATGGTAAGTGTCCTAGTGTTATCAATATTGATTTGATACTGACATTTTGTAGCAACGAAATTAAACTAAACATTTTTAAAAAATAATAATTATATTGACTAAATTAAGCCGTTACAATATAAACTGCTCGTCATAAAAATCGACGTAACTAGTTTTTTGGAAAATATTTGAAAGCTCGTTATTAGAAAATTACTGAATCGATTTTGAAAATCTTTGGAAATTCTGAATAGCTGATTCTTTGACTCTTATGTCTAATTTTGGGAATACGATATTTTATTATACTACGGGGGTGGTAAACGAAGAGATGTATTTTTTCCGAAATTTCAAGTTATTCCCATTCATGAGGCAGTTAAGTTTGATAGTCGTAATACCCCTCCTTAATATAAGTAAGGAACGTTTTCGAGAATTTGTGAATATCGCGGCTTACTACGATTATATGGCAATTTTTCGAAAATTCACGTTATTCTTCATTTTAGTCCAAAAAATGAGCAATAGTTGATTCTTTGACTCTTATGTCTAATTTTGGAAATTGTGCACATAGCATGATACTACAGGGTGGTAAATAAAAGAGATGTTTTTTTCCAAAATTCCAAATCCGCATTCACAGGGCAGTTGAGCTACTACCCCTTCCTAATAACAGTTAGGTAATTCCTCGGGACATTTTCGAGATTTTGTGGATATCTTGGCTAACTACGATTATATAGCAATTTTTAGAAAATTGTCGTTATTCTCCACTTAATTCTCAAAAATAAGCAAACTACTAAAGGTATCGATTAGTTATCAACACATCGTTTTCCCAATTTGCATGTTCTTGTGCCCATCTTCTTCTAGCAGAAAAAGAGGGCAGGCTGCTTTTCGTCTTGCGTGGTAGGTATGCAACCTTACATTCGTCATTTTATTTTTTTAAATGTGTTTTGCTGTTGATGTTTTCATTTTCGATGACAAAAATGACAAGAACAATTGAAGGGAGGAAACTCAAAACCAGATATGCGCCATATTTTTTAAACTTTTATAGTCAACCGTTTGTAGAAAATTGCATGAATATGGCCTGCATAAGTTTACGAGAATAATTTTGTTTGGTTTGCGTTTTTATTTTAAATTTCACCGAAAAAATTGTTTTTGTGTGAAACATTTCACTTTCAATGAATAACGCAACGTACATCACCTGGAAGCACGTGACCTACCTTAAAACGCTGTGTTGATACCTTCTGCAGTTTGCTCATTTTTGGGAAGAATAACGTGAATTTTCGAAAAATTGCCATATAATCGTAGTTATCCAAGATATCCACCAAATCTCAAAAATGTACCGAGGGATTACCTGTTATTAGGAAGGCGTATTATGACTATCAAGCTCAACTGCCCTGTGAATGGGATTTGGAATTTTGGAAAAAAAATATCTCTTTTTTTAACACCCTGTAGTATAATGCTATGTGCACAATATCTTATTCTCAAAATTAGATGAAAGTCAAAGAATCCCTTCCGGCTTGACCGAAAGTGACATCAACTATGTTATTTTAAATGGAATACCCCATATATTTTTACATTTTTAAATTCTACATAAAATTTGGAGTAAAATTACTGTAAGTAGTTTTGGATTTATTAATTTTTTCCGTTAAAATATGACAAATGCGCGTCAATCAAAAATAGCCTATAACTTTCTTGCTATTAGGTTTTCAGAAATGGGGGTGGAATTTTTGGAATCTTAAAACATTGTTTAAAAGATTCCATGTCAAATGTTACGTTTAAAATAAAAAAGTTATTAACGTTTCAAGTTAGCCCAATTTGCCCTGGGGTTTCTCGGGTAATTTGTTAAAAAATGTTAAAGAATTGACATGGAATTTTTTAAATAATGTTTTAAGATTATAAACATTTTACCCCCATATCTGTAAACCTAATAGCAAACATCTAGAAAACTTACTTTATTTATTTAATTAGTGCAATTAAATGTTTTTTATTCGGAATTTGGGTATTTAGTTGGCAAATTCTAGGGACCCTTAACTTATAATTGGCTACATTGAGTAAAACAAAATTATTTAGTTGATTTATGCAGCACAAATTAATTATGTTATGCTGTTTTGTTTTTAAAATTCCCTCGTGAAATTTCACACCCATTAAAGTGGGAATATAAAAGTTAAAAATCGTAAATTGATATGATTTAATTAAACTTTATATAAAAAAATTTGGTTTTAAACTTAAAAAATAGGATGGAATAATTTTTATTATTTTTAATTAATTTTGTCAAAAATCTGCGTTTTTCAAAAAATAATAATACTGGCTTTAAACAAAAAGCTTTTATTATAATAGTTATGTTATTATTATATTTTATTAATATTTTGTATATATATATATATATATATATATATATATATATATATATATATATATATAAGAAAATAGAAAAAACCAATAAAGTGCTACTGATGAAATAATTTCATTGAAATTTAAATCACTTATTACAACAAAATGAAAAAAATGTTTTCTGAAAATGTTAGATTTTAAGTTAGTACCTTTTGAGATATTTCAGATTAAAAAAGCCCGATTTTGGACAAATCGCAAAATTTGGAATTTTTAGTATATCCCTTCTGAGATGTTTTTGATTAAAAATTTACCCGATTAAGGACTAATCGCAATATTTTGGCTATTTTTAAAACAAGCACATTAAAATAATAAAATACGATTAAATCTTATTTTATTTTATTAATTTTATTTATTTTTATTTTACAAATTAATTTGCTTCTAACAGGCCTAATATATTAAATAAAACACAAAAAAATAATGTGTTGAAATTTGATCCACTTATTACAACATAATAAAAAAAAAATTTCTTCAAATTTTGGATTATTAGAGTGTGTACCTCCATTTGGTGACAATATAAAAAAAAATGAGTTTACCAAAATTTGAACAATATCGAATTATATTAAGAGGTCGCGCAAAAGTAATAAAATTAAACGTAGAGTAATAAAATTAAACGTAGAGTATACTCACTATAGTGAAAATAGCAAAAAATGTATGATGTTATATATATAGCTTGCATTCCAATCTAGGGTTTAGATTTGAATGCAAAACGAATTTAAATGTTCTCAAATAAAACATACAAGCGTTATGTATTAGAAATCAAAAGGTTTTACAATGGTTTTTTTATTACAATCAGGGTATCTTTGTCGATGTTTCTGCACAACTTGAAGAAGACATTGCTTTTGTTCTTCGTTCTTTGTAATTGTGGAAGAATAGGCTTCAATGAGGGCTACACCCCTCTCCGCATTGTCATTTACCACACGGAGATTTTTTACTATTTCAAGGCCATCCTGATAACTTTTTTGCATTGCCCATTTTTCAGGTTTCATTTGAAGGAATTCCATATCAATTCCTAAATTTCTAAAGAAAAAAACAGTGTTGGTTGTCACGAAGTTCGCTATTGTCATACCATTTATGGGTTTTTGAAGATTTATTATGTTTGCTCTCTTTGAGGGTTCGGCCTCTCCCTGATTCTCGTGTAGAGCAATAACCATTCTCTCTTTTTCTTCAGGTGAAATACCCATATCAAAAAAAGCAAGTGCTACAAGGTAATCGCTAAGATACCAAAGATGTCGTTTCCATTTTTCAAGTACAATCTGAGACACAGTTAAATTTTTTCTTCATACTCTTTAAGTTGCTTTAAAAGTTTAAGGTCGTTTCTTGGTGCTTGTATAGGTAAAGGAGCACCAAACCAATTTTTTAAATATATCCGGATAATAAAAATGCAAATGTCTTTAAGGGCTTTTTCTTCCTGTAGAGTTAGCTTAAACTGCCCTCGAAACATCCATAACTTAAGGCTGTATAGGATCTTAGCCATCCATCTAGCGTGATGCAGAGCTCCTGGAGAACGAAATCGTACACCACGGGGAGGGGTTCCTCCAAGAAAAATTATAAGAAGCTCAAGAATTTCTCTGTAATCCTCACGCGGCTGAATTACCTGCAGAATAAAAGAAAGGTGTTGACTTACTTAAGAATAATTTATTAATGCAATTAAGATAATAAAATAGTCATTAAAACATTAGGTAACTTACCTCAAGTTGTTTCTCTGCAAACTCCAATACACCCTGAATTTTATCCTGGATGGCTGCACACATTTCATTATTTTGTACACCAGGCTCATATTTCGTATGATCCATTTTTGACCAACATTTCTGAAACCGTTTAAATAAAGGTAGATCTGGTCCACAAGAAGATCCAGTGCATTTTGTAAATACGGCAGCTAATACAATTTCTAACATATGGTGTCTG